AGAGCAAATTGGAAAAACCGGATTTTCAAAGTACAATTTCAAACCCCAGTTTTACTTGGTTTGGTTGGACACAGCAACAAAGGGCAGATCATCTAATCCACCACATTGACATGGGTAATAGCAATAGTTTACATAGTTGAATTCGAGTTCACCTTTATTCTTTTTTAAAGGCAATGATCATTTTCATGAATCAATACCCAGACATTCAAAAAGCATTTTTAATAACAAACACCTTGAAATTTTAACCTCACGCTTTCCCAAAAATTATGTTTTAAAAAAGTAGTTTCTCAGCTACTCAGTAATCAGCATTCAGCATCATTGATTCGTTGAAATATTGATTCATTGAATACTGAATTTTTTTTTTCTTTATACAACGCTTTTACTTTCGTGAAACAGCAAAATCCTTTTTTGTAGGAATTTTTAATATTTTTGATTTTTTTATTATTGATGATCATTCTTGAAATATACAGTTTTTCCCCAAGATAGGCAATTTCCGTTGTATCTTACTGTTAATTAATAAATAATTAATTAATAAATAGATAAATTTCATTTTTATAATTCGTTTGAATATCCGATAATTTTTGTAAGCTCTACAATTGGTAAAAAGAGAAGAAGAGTTGTTAGCAAAAAATAATTCTTCTTCTCTTAACAAGCCAAATTACAAGTATGATGATACTTTACGATCAAATTTAATATTCTCTCTGATAACAGTAGGTTTTGCTTCATTATCAATATTCGTTGGAATATTTACTAAATTATTTTCGGCAAGTTCTAAACCTTGTGATTTTATAAATTCTTTAAAACTTTCATCATCTAATTTCAAATCAATCAATTAAAGAATAATTAAATAAATAAATAAATAATTAATTAATTAATAGAACAAAATTTAGACGCAAACCATTTGGAGATGATCCATAATTTAAATATTCTCGTAATAAATCAGCCGAAATATTTTGATATGCCATCGAAATAATTTTCATGATTACTGTTATTAATGATGATAAATTTTTTTTGGAGAATTGAGATTTTCTGAACAAAAAAAAAATTTATAATTTCAATTATTATGTTAATTAATTACCTTTACGTATTGCATCTTCAAAACCCACAGCTTCGCTAGTAAGTTCTTTAAATGACTCATCCGTTTCATACATTTTCCAAAATTCCTGGTATTTTCCTTCTTCTATTAATTTTTGTGCGTCATACAATTTGCTTATATTTTCATCTGACAACTAACAAAAAAAGTTTTTGGTCATAATTTTAAGAAAATAATATCCAAACTATTAATTAATTATTAATTTTTGTTGGAAGAAGAGTAAAAAGGATACAGAGCTCTCTTGTAATAAATATAAACATAGGTTAAAATCTGGATTTGGTATGGCAGTAAGGGCTTTAACCAATATATTAACAATAACTTGCTCGTTGACTAAATGTAGATTAAACTGATACCTTTATCATATTATTTTTTTAAAAAAATTAGAAAAAGAATAATTAATTAATTACAATTACTCTATAAATAAATATATAAATTATATGTATTAAAATACGTGATGGATCAGAGAGGGCAAGTTAATTATTATCATATGTCTCATTATTTTTTTTAATAGCAATATGAGCTCAACATAAACTAATCATCATTTTCTCACATATAAATATAAACATATATCAGTATAAAATACTTACAACTTTAATATTGCTAAATTAGCCATCAAGTCATATTCTCCTGTTTGCATCTGAGTAATCAAATACTCTTCTAATATTGATACGTTATCAGGATTATATCGATCAACTCCATCAATAAGTGATTTTATCAATTCAGGTCTTATTGGTGGCACCAATGATGAAGGTTGAAGTAGTGATTTATTATCCTTCATTTTTATTATTATGTTACTAAAAAAAATTTTTTTTGGATGATCAAAGATTCATCGTGTAACTAGTACAAATTTAGAAACTATCTGCGGACAATTACTAATGTATAAATGTATAACGTTACATCTTCATCATTCCCCACAGTGAATCAGACTAAAATGGGACTTGTGGTATATAGGCGCAGCCAAACGCATGAGTAGAATTAAAAATAAAATTAATAGAATTAATAAAATTAAAAATTGCAAAAAAAGGTATAATGAATGTCAAATTGAATTTCCCTTTCACGAATTTCATCATCCATACGGAAATGTTGTCTTCCCAAAGAACAATAAATAGTCAAAAATTTCGTGGTGTACATTCTCTTGAACACAAGAAATTACTTTCTCACATATCATTGATAAACAATATCAACAATGGGCGTTATTGTAATTATTTATATTCTACTTACCCTACTTTTATATAAAACACACAGTACTTAATTAATCACCTAATGTTAAAAAAAAACTTGTTTTTCCCACACTAAAAAAAAAACTTTCTCTTTTAATATTTAGAAAAAATGGGTCAAATTCAAAGTAATTTTGTCTCCACAATTACACCGCAAATTCAAATTCAAAATTCTGATGTTATGAAGTTCATTTCTAGAACCACTTTTACTAATAATGCTTGTAACAACAACAACAACAACAACAACAACAACAACAACAACAACAACAACAATCTTGATACGATTGGAATAATGGATAAAATATCATCTAAATTATTACAAACCCATTTCAACCACTTGGAAAGTTATTCGTTGAGAGTATCTTTTGATAATTTATGCAAATTAAATGAATCCACCAATATTCTTTATATCGATGAAAAATCTTTTATGGTAAACAAAATTATTATTGTTGTTGTTGTTATCAATTCGTTATATATTCTACATGTTAAAATTTAAAAAATTCGATTTTTATTTAGGATTATTTAAATATTCCTGACGAGACTGGTGCAGGACCGTTAATTTATCGATCATTTATCAATCTAGGCAATTACCAATCATCATCAATTGAACATAATCTAACCTATAATAGTTTAGTAAAAGCTGTCGCGATTTATTGTAATAAGTTTGAAGATGTAATTAATGAGGATCAATTAAAACTTATTTTTGATTCTTTTTCAATTCCTCTTGATCATAAAAACAACAGCAACGAAGATGGTGGTAATAATAGATTGGGTGCTCCCTCAGAAATACAACCACAAACTTCCTCTGCTTCTACTTCTACTAAAGATGATGATGATTTCCTTAAATTACTTGGTATTGATCAAAGTGAAGAAGTCAATTCTTCTAAAGTTCAATCACAAGATTTGGTAAAGGTATTGATAGCTTTAGTTTGGATTATGTTATCCGAAATGTCTTTAACAACAACAGAAGCATTAACATCAGCGTCAGAAGCATCAACAATTTCTAACAAATTAACATCTTTGCAAGATATAAATCAAATTCGTGATGCTATCATACCAATTGTTGATCATATATCAATATATAATAATAAATCCTCCGGGTCAAATCAAGAGTCAAAAAACTTGTTTTCTGATGTTACTTGGTTAGCGTTTAAAAAATTTACTGAAAGAAATGCACCAAATATATTTCAGGGATTTACTGGATTTTTCTATAATCAGTTTTTGATAGGTCAAACACTTTCACGTCCAGAAACAGTTTATTGGCCAACTTTGGATCATCAATGTGAAACCTTGGACCCAATAAATATTGCAATATTATCATGGATGTTACCAGATAAAGTGATGAAGAAACGTATTTGGAATCGTTTATTTAAAGGAAGTTTACATGGTTTCAGTATGAATCGTTTCTCCAGTCATGTATTTAAATATCCTGGCCCAACATTAATGTTAATAAAAGCAATCATAACAAATCAACAAACTTCATTCTCTACCACACCTACAACAAAAACGTCTCCAACCAAAATAGAAAATAACAATAATAGTTCAGAATCAGAATCACAACAAAATACTTTGTTATTAGGTGCCTATGTAGCAGAGTCATGGCATTCAACCAATTTACCTAAATCATGTTTCGGATCAGATGAATTTTTTTTGTTTGAAATTTGGCCAACTTTAGAACTTTTCCCAGCCACCAAAAAAAATACAAGATATGCATATTATAATCCTTCATTTGGCATAGGTTTTGGTGGTTTGGCCACTGCCAGTCAAACTTCCAGTAAGATAGAATCACAAGATGCAAACTCATTTGTGCTTCAGCTTGATAACAGTCTTCAATTTGGTAGATATCGCAATGATATGTTGAGAGAATTATCACCCACCTACTCTTTATCCAATACAAGGGGCTATTTTGATATATCTTTTGAGGTTTTGGAAATTGAAGTCATTGGATTAGGTGGCAATGATGCTCTTAATAAACAAGAGAAAGAATGGAAATGGGAAGATAATGAGGCGAATAAACGGCAAGGACTTCGAAGGAATAGTTCGAAAAATACTGATATTGAAATATTAAAGGTAAAATAATTACTAAAATATACAATTACATAGCAGGGTTGGCAAAAGACAAGGTCCATTGAATCCGGTGTATTTTGGTGACATTGGTAAAATATGGTCATTATGTCTACACCAATAGATCCAATGGACTGGTTAATGGAACAATCAATTACCAACCCTGCTACATTAATAATATATGTAATTATTGATTAATAAATTAATATTTTTTAAAAAATTAGCTTGCTGGAATTATTGAAGAAGAATCTCGTAAAGAAATAACACCAAGAAAATCATCATTCTAAAATTTTTTTTTTTACCAATAAACATTATAATAATAGCATTATAAATATTTGTATATATATATATATTTATTTAAAATAAAACAATGTATTAGAGCTTTTAATTAATATTAAGCAAATAATTTAACCATTAATATATGTTTAATAATAAAATTTTATTTCATTGCATCTAATTCTTGATCAAAAAAATTTACATTTAAAATTATTGTAATATAATCATTCATCAAATATATATTTATAAAGTAGGTGGAAGAGCCAACGGTTGAGAGACTTCATCGCGTTTCTTTTTACCCAAAAGTTGCTCAATAATGGTTAATGCAAATAGGAATGTACTACCAGGACCTTGACTATTATGAATATTATATATATATATATATATATATGTTTCGAGAATTCATATACAATAACTGATTTTAAAAAAAAGAATTTACCTTGTAATAACACGATTGTCAACAACTACACGATCTTCCGAATATTTATAATCTAAAATCATTTAGATTGTTAGAACTGTAATAAACAAAAAAAAGTGAAAGCAAGAGAGATGAATGAAAAAATAAATTGTTTAATAATTTACCATTTTCCAAATCAGCTTTTATACTAGGATAAGAAGTGATCTTGCCACCTTTATTAATGTTGGCTGACTTGATTGCCAATGGACCTAATAATTTATATAAAACATTTATATTAAGATATTTTGTAAACTAATAAACGCATACTTGGATTGGATGTGAGAAATAATACCTGCGCAAATTGCAGAAACAAATTTTCCTGACTTATGAAATGATGATAATAAATTTTGCACATCAGTATTTGATGAAAGAGTATTTGCTCCAGCCGTTCCACCAGGAATAATAATAATATCGTAGGCATCCTTTATAATGAGTGTTTGTTTTTTGGGGGAATCAATTAGTTGAGTAATTTTTCAAAAGAAAAATAATTCTAAAATTTTAAATTATATTACAGAGTTGGTTAATTTGGCAAAATCGTTATCTGGTACAAGCTTCACATCTCGACTACACTTTGCAAAATTAGAACTTTTCAATTTTACACCAACAACATCCACCTCTATCTGAGCACGTCTTAAAACATCAACTTTTTTTTAAAAAGAAAAAGAATTAATTATATAGTTGAATTAAGTAGAATAAATAGAATGTTTTAATGTAAGTAATTCATACCAGTAACTACCACTTCTATTTCTTCACTGCCATCTGCTATCAACACGAGAGCTTTTTTCTTTTCAGTCATGTTTGAGAGAATTTTTTGAATCTAAATTTTCGTGAGTGTAGATCCATATTATATTAAAATGCTGTAATAGTGATATAGAAAAGCGTCAATATAACGTGTATCACAATGAAATCACCCGACTTTGAGAAAATTTCGGATTTTGGTCACGGTAATTTGGATTAAACTCTTCGCACATGCACGCAAATGTTGACATTTATTCGGTTAATCAATTGATTTTTTAATACAGAAATCTGTCCTATTAAAGTTATATTGACTTCAAAAAGAAATCATTGAAGTCATCTATTTGATGTTAATGGATTGAATGTAGCTGGTACGATACAAATGTGCCCGGAGTCACATTTCCATATTCTTGATAAGCTTGTCCTCCGTCAAATGTTGCAATGTCGCAACATAACCGTAACTTTACATATTACATAAAAACTATACATAAAATCACGATTTAGTTAGACCAATTTTCTATTTATATTGTCTCAAAAACATTATTATTATAAAAAATTTGATTCAGTCGGGCATCTTTAAAAAATGACATAGCTTGCAATAGCTTGGTAATGACCATTATCAAAATGGTTACCACGCGTAAAATATATCATTATATTTTGGACCAAGTTTATCAAAAAATTCATCTTTTAATTGTTATCGGAAAAATATGAGAAAGGAATGGTTTTAAAAATGCATAAAACTCGTGGGAGAAAAGAAATTGATATAACTAGAAAAGTAAGAATCTATTTTTATTTAATGTAAACATTACATAAATATTTATTATTATAAATGTTACAACATTGCGGTAATTTTACATTAATTCTCGAGAAAAGTTTTCAATGGATGATTTTCCTGTTTGATGATATTCTCAAACCAAATCCTAAAGAATAGTCTGTGAAAATTCGTGAATTTGCAACAGTGTAATTTTTCCATGAATTTGCAACAGTGTAATTTTTCCATGATTTTCTATGAACATGATACATTTCTGGAGAAAATATGAACTTTTAAATCACGAATTAGTTTTTTTTTATACGGAAAAAGTTAATGAGCCAAATTCGTTATTTCCTAATGCTACAAAGTATAAATTCTTTGCTGTCATATTGTTCAGGTTATCTCTAATAGTAAAGCTTGTATATAATTTCTCAAGTCCTAATTTCATTATTTTCACCAATCCCATTTCGTGCAAATAGCTGATGCGATCCGCAGATATCCGTCATTTGTTTATCCAAATCTTTTAGTTCTACCATTCTAGAGTGTAAAATATCTCGCCCAGCAACAAATTTAAAGTCTTCATATATATTAAAGGTTATTTAAATTTAAACATATCTTTGATAAACTTGTTAATGGCACAAATCCCATTATACAATAATCTGACTTTATATTCCTTTTATCTTGTCTTTACCATAACAATAAACTCACATGATAATGCAAACTCTTTTGTCAAATAATGTCAATAGCAGGTTGTGTACCATTAATGAATTCTTCAAATTGACTATATCATAATCTTGTATTTTTTGCTGTATTTTGTAGTTTTGCTACATTAACGTATTTGATGACTGTATCTTCAAAAGGTCATTCAAATTTGCCTTTCTAACAGAAATAAAATTTATTAATAAAAATATATTATTAAATTTAAATAGTAAAAATAATATATTTTATTTGATGAACTTCAAATAGAATTTAAATTGGAATTCTAAAATATATTTATCAAGAGGGAGAGAGGATAACTTCTAAATGTATCAAGGATTCTTTAATTCTTGGGTTGCAACTTCAGGATTCATTGAGGCAGTTGTAAAAAAAAGGAGCTTTTTTTTATTATAATTAAAAGTACCTTTTAAATTGGATAATCAAGCAAAATAAAACAAATTAGGTTTTTTACCATTTTATGAAAGAAATTTTGGAATTTGGAAAAATAACAATTTTTTTTGTATTATAAAAGTTTATTTTTGAGTAAATATAAGTAAAAATGGACAATTACATAAATGACATGGGATTAGGGTTTGTATTCATGAACATCATAGGGGGTCACACATGGTCACACACTATTAAAATCAAGTGACCAACTCATGTTTTTAAGGGTTTTTTGCTGTTTTAATAGCGTGTAACACCCTTAATGATATTCATGATATTCATGACATTTATTATTCTGTCTGTTTTAAAAGCGATTTGATTGGTTAGATTTAAAAATTTTGGGGTGGGTTGTTTGGATATGAAATTCTGATTGGCTAATTTGAATTTCACATCACATAGATTTCATTTTCACGCACAACAATCCCAAAAATTTTAAATTTGCTCTATAAATCTATACAAAACTATGTAAATCTATACAAAAACTATATAAAATAAACCAAAGCAAAATTTGGTTAACAAAATTTAACTTAAAAAACCAAATTCAATTATAACAATTATAACAATATAGCAAAAAAAATTAAACAGATAGCCTTATACCAATATATCTTTTTTCTTTACTAAAATACACCCTTAATACTGCTAAATTTTCCATTCACTTTTATTACTTTTATATGATGCCATTTCTTACTGAAAAAGATGCTGATGTTGCAGAAACATAGGCAAGGAAATTGATGAACAGAATTAGAAATGGCACCAACAAGATGCTAAAGCCCATCATCAGCAGTGCATCAACAATCCTCAACTGCATAACTTTGCTCAGGACTTTTCTGAAGATGCAAATATACCCATTTACATCAAATTAATGTCACTAGCAATACTACAACCTTGATAACAATAACATAATAAAAACTCTTAATAAATATATAACCTTACATAAAATAGTCTTTGACTGTAAGTAACTAATTAGAGTTGCCTTCCAAAACTCATGTGTTTAGAACTATTTGAAATTAAAACCATTCTAACTGGTTTAGAAAATGAGCCTGAATTCCTAAACTGTTTTTGAAACTCCTAAACAGTTTGCAAAACTCCTAAAAATTCCAACCAAACAAATAATTTTAATAAAATAAAAACCATTCATACCCAATGTCAAGTTGTTA